CAGGCCGGCAGAGTCCATCCTCTCCGCGGTGAGTACCAGTCTCTTGCCCTGCAGTCATGGGTAATGCTTCCAAGAACCAGATTGGCCAAGGAAGACTGCACCCCCCCTAGCCTTTCGGTCATTTGTCCATGGCTCTTGAAATGCCGTAGGTTTCGTGCCTTCGCTGCCTCCGGCGGAACAGCCCAAGCTGGCACCATCAGCGTCTCATGCTCAGTGCGTGCCGAAAGACTTGGCCCTTGGCCTTGTGCCATCAAACCGACGCTCTGCCTTGTCAGTGCAGGCATCCACTCCTGGCATTGAGTGTCTTGATCGGCTCTCCAGGATAGACGTAGCTGCAATCAGAAGCGGAACACGAGTACCCGAAGGAACAGCATCGCACTCACGCCACTCTGGACAAACGAAGCACTGACTCGCAAAACGCTGTGACAAGTTGGGCCATGTGAGCATGAGCGACGATCTCGAGGATGCCTGCGTTTGGTCGGACTTGCCTCCCTCCCTCCTATCTGCGGCTCCTTGGCCAGAAAGAAGGTCTGCATCCCCAGCCAACTGTCTGCCATGTTCCTTTTCCCTTAGCTACTTGGATGTGAGGAAATGAACTTACAAGCCTGAAGCGTGAATGCCTGCGCCGAAATCCCAGATGTCGCCAGTAAACCATGCCCCGTGACACCGTCCTGTGACTCAGAACCCAGCCTCATGATCCCCCGTGCGCCATGACATGTCAGGACATTTTTGTGTGGCTGTTGCATGGTAGCACGAATAACTGTGGTACTCCGCATTGCTGCGGACAAAAACGAGGAGGCTGCTGCTACTACTGATGATGACTATGATGATGCCGATGATGCTATTGAGGAAGACGAAGACGATCACGGTCACAATAGTCCCGGAAGCAAATGTTGTGTTTTTAGAATGTTTCAGCGGGAATCTCAAGGGTGAAGCCCGGAAATTTAAAGCTCAAGGCATTCGTGCACCTGGACATACCTGCTCTCTGTGTCGCCACAGCTGTAGCTCGTACTTGGGGTGGGGCTGCGCTGCCCGAGGCAAGCGTCTTACTGGGTTGAACATGACAACATTAATGTGAAACGCAAAGTGGCGTCAGTAGCAGAAGGAAAGGCATCGAAGTAGTTGGAGGAGGGCCAGAAGCAGCAGCACCACCATCAACATTGGCAGCACCAGTAATAGGATTGCGAGGATTCCCCTCATTATGAATACACAGACAGTCCTGCTGCAAGTGGTTCAAAAACGAATCATTTCATCATGTGAAACTTTGTCCGTGGGCTTGAGCTTTGGTCAGAGGGTGTTAAAATGAAGGCTACTATGTATGCAAAGTTTAGGGGTTTGGGATATCATCACCACTTATTGAGAATTTAAATGGAAAATCACATGGATTTTGGGGGCCTTTAAGGGATATATACGAATATTACGCAAAAAGTCGAACATCAGATGGAAAAGGAAACGGATACTACTGTGGATACTAAGAATCCTGCATGACCCTAAGTACATTATATATAGGGAATAATGGGACACTGAACCCTAAACCCTACACTCTAAACCCTAAACTCTAAAACCTAAACTCTAAACCCAAGGCCCTAAACTCTAAACTCTAAACCCTAAACTCTAAACTCTGGACCATTGGAGTCATGCAGGATTTTTTCGTATCAACCGTATGTACTGGTATAGGGTTAGATCAAGGCCAGGCTTGGCTTTGGTGTGTCAGGGCGGGTTTAAGGTTTAGGGTTTACGGTTTAGAGTTTAGGGTTTAGAGGTTAGGATTTAGAGGTTAGGGTTTAGAGGTTAGGGGTTTAGGCTTTAGGCTTTAGAGTTTAGGGTTCAGAGTTTAGGGTTTACGATTTTGAGTTTAAGGTTTAGGGTTTTGGAGTTTAGGGTTTAGAGTTTAGGGTTTAGAGTTTAGGATTTAGAGCTTAGGTTTTGGAGTTTAGGGTTTTTAGTTCGGGGCTTTGAGTCCTTGATCAGGACTGCAGCTGGGACTTTTGACCGCAGCACTCGCCTCTACCCACAACATCGAACATTTACGTAGTCATCTTATTGGTGGTTAGTGGGGAAGACGGAAATATATTGTATAGGGATTATACTCCCTTAATCCCTCCTAACCACCAGTAAGTTATGAGCCCCTGGATGTCGTTTCAAAGCCAAGGTACTCCACACACTGCTGTCATGAACCTACACAATAGTAAAGCCAATCGCTTGTTCAAATGCGGTTCTGTTTTTGCTCACATGGAGGTTTCCTAAGATTAAGGGTGCCACTTTGGGGGCCTCTTTAATATGGATTATAGTATGCTGGGGTCTTTTTGGGTGTATCCAAAAGCTGCCATATAATCCCTTTATAATCCTATACATAGGAGCTTCCATCTCATCTTCCATTGATTTTC